AAGAGAATAACCTCACAACTTGAAAGTAATCAAAGCGACATTACTGACAAATGTTGTTTTTGCAGCTGCAGATCAACCTCTGCTTGACTTTATAATAATACTTAAAAATATTATGAAGCTGCTTTTTTTCTAGTCATCTATATCCCTGACTAAAGGATGTCATTGAACCTTTTTGATGCAATTAAAACGTCAAGCATATTTGGAGTGCAACTAGCAACGATGAGAAAGATGTGAAAAATTTGATGGGATTCTCCTGCAGAAAAGGAATTAAAGTTGTTCACACTTAATATAAAGTTATTTGTAACAAGAACTTGTAAATAGACAATAAGCAACTAATGAAACTTCATAACATGCTTATTTATTGCTTATACAACACTTAAAGGCTCTTATTAGAAGTTTGTTAACAGTTTATCTGCCTATTAAAAATACCAATAGGATGTTAATTAACATAATTAAGACTTTATGAAGATTTAATACAGATTGATTATTAGCTTGTAACACTTGCAGAAAACTAACAAATATATATAGCTTTTAAAATTTAATTGAAATATTATCAATATCAATCTAACATGAGCCATTATAAAGTTGCAACCATAGACTGTATAAAGAATGGACAGTCTACCTCCTCGCTGGGTGAGGCTTTCACGAGAACAGCACCCTCTGGTGACGGGCTGCAGTATAGGTCATAAATCCAGCCTCCACCAGCAAAGCTTATGGAGCTGTGGACATACTTTAGACATTTATTACACAGAATATAATTTTTTATCCCCCCGGTTGTGATGTTGACATGAAGTTCCTGTAAGACTGGTTTGTGCTCAAGTCCTTTTTTTCTGTGCAGCTCCATATTCAAAAGTTTTTAGGGGGTTAATGTTTCCTATGATTGACACTTGATACATCCTATAGGTATACAAATATTGCATAGCTCACTCAGGGTCATCACAGCGACTCTCCTGCCGAATGCATACAACTCTTCTGTGCAAGTGGTGGAGTGCCTACAACGCTACTGCACAGTGTTGGTTTCAGAAAGTGGAGAAAAACCCCGGAAATACTGAGAACAATTCAGCCTCAAATCCATATACTGGTGGAAGGTGGAACCAAGTTGTCCATAGTCTTGGTGGACAACTCAAAACCAGTCTTTGGTTATAACTAACACTTATTTTTGCTTTTGGGCTCCAGTGGGAGCTCTTACCGAAACTTGTCAACAGTTAAAATTATTAAGATGATTTTATTGTACATTATTAGTATTCAGTGTAAAATGAGAGATCAGAGGCTGTATGTGGAATTCTTTGGAGGTTAAGCAGAGAGCCATGGATGGATGTGAAGCTGTTCTGATATATGAGTAGAGCCTCACTGAACAGCAAAACCATTATGGCAAGCAAGGGTCAAAACATGTAATCTCTTTAAGCTTGAACAGCCAACATTTATCTGATATTGATAATTTATATTTCTTTTACAACACTAATCACAACTTGAGCTTTAACATGAGGGAAACTTGAGTAACCTATTGCAGCATCAAACCAGACAAAATGATGATAAAATATGATAAACTCTAGAATTTCTCATTAAAATACAAGATTTTTTATCCTGGATGCTAAAGGGCATCACAGCTTGGACCTGGCACTATGACTGAGTTTTGTCTCCAGCTGGACCAGACAGGAAAATCCAGTGTTTAAATGTGACATTTGAACTGTGGACGATTAATTATGTAGACTGAGTACAGCTACACACACAGCATAGAGGGGGGGGAGAAATAGAGAGTTTTCAAACTGGCGGCATGCTCTTTTTGGCTCGACACATCTTAATACACTTTTACACATATGCACACAGGCATTAAAATATGCTTGATTTCTCTCTGTATCTGTTGTCTTATTGCACATACACACGTTTGTATGAATATCGTATTTTTATTTATAATTTATCCTTTTTTTAAGTCAGTGTGAACAGAAAGTGAGAATTTACATCACTATTTGGCATCCTCTTTCAGGTTCCAGTTCTTTAGAAAAATACAAAACATAACATGCTAATTTTTCCCTTTTTTAACAGCAAATAAGATAAATATTAAACATCTCTTCGAAGTTAAGAGTGGTTTATAAAGTTCAATTGTTCTTGAACTTTATAATTATGAGCAACCAGTTGACCAACTGCTTTATTTAGACTTTTATATTTTAACTGTTTCATAAATACAAAAATATTACCAATCAGTACAAATACTCATGTGTGATCCGTAGATGGGGGACAGTCCAAACCCCATTAAAAGAGTCAGCTCCTCACTAGGGCTGTCAATGTGAATACAGTAATATATGCAAATAAAATACAGAACTTCAAATGCAAATTTGCATACCTCACAGCCAAATTTGTCTAAATTAGTCCCTAAAAAACATCAGTTGATGATAACTAGCAGACTTTGAGCAGAGAAATTCAAACTAAAGCTTGTGTTACTGACAGAAGGAAGCAACTGAGCATATTTTGTTGACTTATGTAAATAATGGTTTCTATTGGCAGTGTAATGAGGAAGATCTGCATGTAGACTCATGTTATAAAACATTTGTCTTTGTTAAGTGCCGCATCATGATAGACTCACCGGTTACAAGCATTGTAAGCAGGGGAAACCTGGCTCTCTGTTATACTCAATACATTTACGCTTAACTGCTCAGGTTTGTATATGGAGCAACATCTGGCTAAATCTGGGCCAAGTCCAATTACTTATCCTGTTCTGTTGATATTCTTAATGTTGTGTAGTAGGTGCCTCTGCATGTAAAGTGGTGAGCATGCTGAGCTGGATTGGCTCAGGTCATTTTGGCTGTGCAGTTGGGGTGGATTCAAAGGGTGGCCAGGGTTATCAGGGCCCACTTGAAATCTGATAGGCCACCCCACAGAGGAATCCTGAAATCCTAACGGATGTATTTTGGCTGTGATGCAGCAGACTGCTACTCACCTTCATTGCATTTCAATGTGGCACTTATAATTATTTCTTGACTTTGGAAAGTAAATACATTTATTTTAATGAACTAGGTTAACTGTGATTCATCACAGCTGGTACCTTGATCAATCATGACCTAGAATGAAAATGACTAAGAGCACTACTCTGTTCTCACACAGACAGAAGATCAGGTATTTTGTCAGATTGAAGCAGCACATGATCAAACTGCCAATCTTCCCTTTCAACCTCATTATTTACAGAATTTTAAGTCTGCAGCCATGTCTGAAGTTCTGTAAAATGATATCCTACTGTTTGAACCTCCCAATTTTTCCCAGAATCTTATTCAGAACATTTTTTTTTCTTTTGAGTCTCTCATGAGACACTTAACTTGTGGCCTCTGCGGTACCTGAACAATGAGGAGTTTCTGACCCACTTTCAAGAATCTGATAGTTTTCCAGTTTTGCTGTTGCTGGTTAAATTAGGTTTACGTGAGATATCTTGCTTATAATCAGAGCCTGTTGTTGTTCTAACCCCCACTGATACCCAACACTTAAAACATACAGGATCCGTATTGGGCGCATAATATCAGGGTCTCATATCACACAGCAAATAGGTTCCCACTCTAATCAATGCAGCATTACACACAGGATGCGTATCAGTTCTATATCAGAAGAGTGTTGCGCGTGGCTCTGCTATAGATATGCGCAGAGTCTATTTTTGCTGCTCTACGCTTCCAACATGCAGACTCACCCCCGACTGTGTATCAGATTGTGTAGGCGAGAAATACTTCCATGTTATATATTTATCAGTAACACAGAAGAATCCGATGGTTAAATCCCTGATCCATGTGGACCCCAACAGGACTTTTAACTGCTAACTCTGTCTGAAGGTCACAGTACAGCATGAAGGAACATATTTGACTCTATTAAACATGAGTAAACCTGCAAAAACTGAAACTGTAAAATCACATTGATTTTTCACATACAGTAGAAGCTCAACAGTCACTGAATTATATCCAAATCAGCAGGAAATAGACCACAGAAAGGCAAAACAACCTGTTGTGAGCATGGTGTTTCCTCTATACTGAGCCCAGCTGACCGGGGCTGCTCAATACGGATCTTGTATGTTTTCGGCTTTAAGCTTATTCTAGCACAGCTATTTTGGCATTAGATACTTTCATTCTGACGTTAATCAAAGTCGATGACCTTAATAGCCAGCATCTCTCAGCAATCTCTGATGGTTTCTTTTGGCTGTAATCTTTTTCCATTTGTTCCACCAAGATCACAACAGAAAAAGCTCAAGGAAAGCCAGGCCGACTCAGTGAATCTAAACACCAATAAATCAGCACAGCCAGACATCCAGTAAAGAATGCCTTGACAACAGTAAGAGGGAGTTATGGAGTGTTTAAGGAGAGTGAGTCATAACTATTTGTCAAACCACAATTCAGCCTTTTTTTTAGCCCTTCACAATAGTGACCCAAATGGGTCTCTTTAGCTGGTGTCCTGGGACCCGCTTTATTAAAGCACACAAGTATTCTTGAAGGGACCTGCTCGCCAAAGGCTTGAGACCCATAAGCTTTAGCTTTACAAGGTCTTTGTTTAATAAAGCACTAGAGAGGGTTGATTTTTTTTAAATCTTCATATGGGAACAGTGACAATGTTAAAGTGAAAGATGTGGTTCCAGGGCTGTAGTGGGTCATGTACTAAATTCATCCCTGGCTCTTCCAGTGAGAGCTCAAAAGTGTCCTTGGGCAAAATACTGGGCAGATTGCTCCTGAAGAAATTATCAGTGGTGTGTGTGTGTGTGTGTGTGTGTGTGGATTTGTACTTGGTGAGCAACTTGACCCCTTGCCTGGAGGTCTCGCTCCTCTCTGAGTGGGTGGGTGTGGAGTTATAGGAATGTAGTAAATCAGCTTTAAGTTAAATAAAGTGCCTAAATGGGTCACAAGAAATGCTCTACATAAATACTGACCAAGCGGACTTGGTTCGATTGGGGAGCTGAATGTTGCAAAATTGTTGCATTTATCACTTGTTTCGGTTTTGCTTTCACACTGTGATTTCTAAAGCGCACCAAACTTTCTGAGCAGCATCACGTGGTTGAAAGGGGCGCTTGTCGATTAGACAAAGTAGGAGGAGTATGTAACCTCACAGATTACAAACAGGGGTGGACTAGCCGTCTTGTATCAGGCTTCGTCACATTATTTTATGGAATGCTACAATGTTAGTGAGCGCAACTGTTCCTATAATGCTATCATAGCTTGTCAGGGATTAATCCTGTTATTTTTTTAACTTTGACAATCTAACATGTGACAACATATGAACTCAGAGTGACTGCTGGTAGTTGTGATTTTATCTTGTTTAAATATGCCCAATTGTGAATTTATGGGTTATTGTTGTTCAGACAATTGAGCTAAGCTAGCTAGCAAATGCTAATGTCAGCGGTCACGTGTTGCCATAGCAACAAGTGACGCCTTGCGTCCTCTACCCAAGATGCACCGTGTATGCACTGCGTAAAGTGTCATTACGTACATTTGATCCTGTGTTTGGTCCGGTGAGCTTTCACACTGCATTCAAACTGAACCGGGGTTCACTTGCAAGCGAACCGAGACCCATGTTTTCAGGTGGACCAGAGTTTGCTTGTTTGGTCCGTACCAGAGTTTGGATAAGCTTTCACACCTGCCCAAACGAAGTGGACTATCTGAGGAAACGAACTCTGGTCTGTTTAAAGCGGACCAAACAAACAGCTCTGGTGTGGAAGCGACCTTAGTGTGGATAGGATATTAAATGTTACTTAGAGTCCCTCTTCACCCCTGCTGTGTTGTACATTGTGTTCTAGTAGAGAACTGAAGGCCTATATCAAAATATGAACTTTTGCATTTATACAGCAGTCTATTCCAGTGAAGCTGACTGACTGCAGTCAGTAAATTATAAAAAACAAACAAAAAATAAATTCTCAAGAATTTCAGTTTATTTCCATCCTACATTAAAGCATGTCAAAGACCAATTTCACACACTGTATTACATTAAAGTTCAAGTTTATAATCTTTTTTTTTCTGTGAACAGAGAGACAAAATAATAATTAAGAAAAATAACAGCTGTTCATTCTCTGTAAAGCTAAAAGCTAAGAGAAAAACATTGTGTAATGGCCTGATTACTATTAGAGCACAAATCTGTCAGTGAATTTGTTTTAGGATGACTCAACTGCTACAGGTAACTGAGTCACTGAAGCTTTTAGAAGAGATGTGTACGAGTGGGTGTTCAATTCACAACGTTTACTCAAAGAAAGCAGCAAAAAAGAGAACATTTGTAGCATCCACAGCACTTATGATGTTTGAACAAGAGATGAAGGTTTTAGACATAGCTACAGTTTTATGAACACATGCAGAATGGCTTGCCTCTGTGCTGCAAAAATAAAAAAAGTAGAGAAAGAAACCATCGGCTGAGAATGAGTTGGCTCTCAATGCCAATGGGAAGAGACCGATTATTCAAGTACATCAGCTAGAAACCTTTGGATGCCACATAAAATAGTGGTGTATTTGTTTTAGTTGTTTGTAACATGTCCTTGTTGTCTTTTAAGAGTGATTTTGAATACAGTTGCAAAAAAACCTCACAAATTAGTCTCTGTTAAGCATCTGCATCCTCTTATAATCCAACAACAAGCTTTTTTCTTTCCACATTCTCGGGGTCGCTCAGCTGAAGGATTGCTACGGCACAGAGGACCTTAAAGTTATCAATTGTTCAGTTTGTACTCTACTTTCAAACCTGAACCTACAGATTGTGTATAAAAGTTAGTCTTTTGCTCAATTTATACACATCGGGCTTGATCTACTGAGATCCAAAATAGCAAGCGCCAAATTGCGTGCGCAAACTAAAAAATTGCACGTGCTATAAGTGGGCATGTTGCAGGTGATCTACGATCATTGCATGCGCAATAGATAACGGGTGCAAAAGTGGTGCAGACAGCCTTCTTTAAATGAGGATTTTGCGTGGGCTATCGGCTGTCACCATGGAGAGTTTGTGAGAGCAGAGTGGTCGTAGATAAAAAATGAAGTTTGAAGCTTTGGAGTTGCACATATCGTTTTGGGGAACTGCATAAAAGGCAAGGGAAGTTTATTTTTGTAGCACAATTCATACACAAGGCAACACAAAGTGCTTTTCAGATGCAAGATATACTAAAAATCAAAAAAGGGATTAAAACAATTTAAAATCAATGAGACAAACAAATGTTTGGTTTGCGGGTTTGATAAATCACATTGCGGGTGCTAAATGATTCCATTTGCATCTGCTCCTCCCAGAATTTTACGCGTTCTGATGACCTATATACATTCTGCATATTCATGAAGGCAAATACGCTAAATCGATTGTGTGTGCAGTTTTGCTCATTTGACAGACGCGATCCCCGATGCACCTGGTTAGTAGATCAGGTTTGTGTGCGCTGTCAAGTTTGAAAGTGGTTTTGCACAAGCAAACCTTTAGTAGATCAGGCCCATTGTTTACTCTTTCCCACATCAAGAAAATAATCCATTGGTCTGTGTTTTCATCATAACATGATGAGTGGTGCTGTGATGTACCTTGTAGAGTATTATGACACTACCAAATCCATCAATAAAATAAATAAATAAATAAATAGATAAAAATTTAAAAAAAGACCCAGACCAAATATTTTTATCAAGATTGCACCTTTGTCTATTGATTCTTGTGTATTATTTATGTGAAAGGAAGCGGTGGACTTTACTGATGTCAAAAGATTTATCGCCTTACATTGTAAACTGTGCCATCATCCTCAGTCCATTCAGGATGAGATGAACAGTGGAGCTGTGCCTAAAGTGTGGGTATAATATGCTATGTGTTAATTAACCCAGAACAGAACAAAAGAAAGAAGCCTATTTTACAAACAGAATGAGAAGAAAGCTTAACAAAGGTCATTATGACTTACACGAACAATAGGCCTATCACGTATTTATCATGATAATACAAGCACACAGACTCCTTGCAGTGACACTGGGTCTGCAGACAGAATTGCTCCAAAAATTCTAATCCAGACCATGAATTCACTGAAATAGAATTGTAAAACATGCAGTCAACAATTTCACAAAAAATGGGAACAAAAACATGCAAGAAGCCTATCAATGTTCCACTTTAAAAAGGAAAATTAAATTGCCTTAAAATTTTGATTTTCTTAACTTTCTGACTGACATTTTGTAGTTTTGATCAAAATATTTTTTTTCAGTGCTGATTTGAAAACAAACAAACAAATGAATGAATGAAACATATTGAAAAAAAATGAGGTACTCATAAAAACTGAGTATTTGTACTTTCAATTGAAACCTTTATTTAGTATTTGCAAGTCAGAAATATTTTGGGAGCTTGAAAGTTCCTGGAATTTGGTCAAAAATCCTGGCAGTGACTGACAACTTTTCATTAGATGCTGGTAGGGAAAGAGTTAAATGTTGTTTTCACAATAAACCTGTCAGTCAATCTATTCTCACTGTGTAGTGACATGTTAATCAGCAGGTCTGTTATGTTTAATGACATACCAAATAAAGTGCCAAGCGACAGGTCACAGCGTTAATTTCATATTTCCCAGATAAAATGTTGACCCTTTTATTTCCCTCAGAAATGTTACTGTTTCAGACTTCTTTTCTGTTTCATACTCATTTCCTCTCTATAATATATATGGCATTGGTCTTTCCTTCTCTATGCAAATGACTTTTTATTTACTTTATGTTTACTGCCTTATCCAGACTTGTTAATGTACTCCCCTCCACTGGTCAAGTTCTATGCGAAGGATATAAAGCTGTATTATCCCATCGCTCATTATTATCTCATTAGCTAAGACACAAAACACCAATAAAATTTCAAGATATTACTGAGATAGTAACAGTTTTTTAAGTGGTATGGTATCTTCATACTAACACTGCCTTTAAAATTTTAATCCACAAGCCATAGAGTATAAGCATATGTCTGGGAGTTAATAGTGAAGTTTAGTTGCTGTGACAACAATGAGAAAGGGAATGTTTTAGGACATGCACAAAATAAACCTGCAAACAGTGTATTTTTAAGCACCCTGCGCTGAACCCTACATCAGAGCTCTATTTTAACATGATGTGCGTGCAGCTTTTACAAAAGGCTGGATTTTATTGGGTTCAGCAGCATGATGCTCATTTCACCATGAAGCTATAGCGCTTTAATGGCCTGACAGGATAAATTTGTGTGGGGGCATTGCACTCGGGCAGTGTGATAATGCTGTGTAATGTCTGCATTTGGGAAATACTGGCTATTTCTGTAATAATGCAAACCATTTTTCTACAGTCATGTCATCCACTGAGTTGCTACATCAGTTTTATCGCTGCTTTGCTGGATAATTAGACCGTCTCCCACACAAGCACATGAAAATTGTGTTCGTGAGAATATCTAATGTGTGCACACCACACTGATTTGTCCACTTTTAATCATGTATTGTCGATGTGCGTAGTAGCCATGCCAAGTATTCCTCAGTGACGGCCCATATGCTCACACGTCCCCACTGTCTCACTTGGAATTTTGGTTAATTAGCCACAGGGAGAGTTGTAAACGAGCGAGGACACACCGTTGATTAAAGTGTTACTCTGATGATGAGAGCATCTTCAAAGGGAGCTGCACTTTAAGCATTAGCAGAATAATTACCACCCAGGCAGAGTAATAGGCCCTGTGGACACACATGAAGAGAGAGGACACACAAACTTTATCTATGGAACAGATTTTTGAGCTCGTATTTGCATTTTTTCCTTCAAACACAAGTCAACATTACACATCTGGTATCTTTTAACAATGTTTTTTATTTTTATATTTTTATGTACACACCAACACACATAGAAACAGTGCACAGTCATGTTGACTTACTGCTGAGGTTGTTTCAAGACTACCATGCAGGAAAACATAACTGTGTTATTTTGTGCCTACAGTCTCTCTCCTTCAATCATCTGTCTTCTGATTTTATCCATCACTCCTCCATGTTTGTCAAAGAGCAGAAAAAAACAACTGAAAGCAGTTAAAGAGCTCATTCATCTTTCCTGGTGTGTCTTTCTTATGTTACTCTTTCCCGCCGTTAACCTTAAATCTGCGTCTTAGTTCCTCTCTCATTCTGCTCTCACTCTCTTAACTGTTTGTCATCTATTCTGTCTTTCCTGTCTTTCTTTTTTCGTCTTTTTTTGTTTTTACTTTCCTGTTTTTCCTTCCCTTGAAAATAATAATAATACTGTATTGAGACTCATCTGTTCTTTCTTTTGTTTTTCCTTCCTTTGAAAAGATCAATT